TATTTTGTTTTCTTTATTAATAATAATTTTTACTTTTAATTTAAATCACAACCCAAATTTTTTTTATAATAAAAAAAATTATTCTTTAAATTAAATCACACATCAAATCTTGATTTATTTTTTTTATTAAATCACAAACGCAGACCTCAGAGGATTCTGAGTTTAAAAATGTGACACGTGTCAACACCTGACACGTCACCAATCACGTCTAAATTAGGTTTCAATCAAGAGGCAATCACGCCTAATTTAGGTAATTTTATTTTTGAAAAACATTCATAAGCCATCATTAATTTCAGACCACGAATAATAACTCAGAAGCTTAAAGAATTAATCATTAATTTCAAAAATAATATCCTTCTTCCTTAAGGATTTAGAATATTTATTTAATTATTTTCTTTATTTCTACAGATTTTTCAAATTGATTTTTTAGTTTAAATCACAAATTAAATCTTTATTTTGTTTTCCTTATTAATAATAATTTTTAATTTTAATTTTAATTTAAATCACAAACCAAATTTTTGTTATAATAAAATAAGTATTATAAAAAAAAATTAAATCACAAATCAAAATTTTATTTATTTTTTTATATTAAATCACAAACTCAGAACTCAGAGGCTTCTTGGTTTAACTGCTCTTATAATATCATTCTTGCAAACTAAAATTGTGTTTGTGAGAAATAAAATATATCAAGAAGCCTCTGAGTTCTGGGTTTGTGATTTAATATAAAAAAATAAATAAAATTTTGATTTATGATTTAATTTTTTTTATAATACTTTTTTTATTATAACAAAATTTTGGTTTGTGATTTAAATTAAAATTAAAATAAAAAAATTTTATTAACAAGGAAAACAAAATAAAGATTTAATTCGTGATTTAAACTAAAAAATCTATTTGAAAATCTGTAGAAATAAAGAAAATAATTAAATAAATATTCTAAATCCCTAAGGAAGAAGGATATTATTTTTGAAATTAATGATTAGTGCTATAAGCTTCTGGGTTATTATTCGTGATCTGAAATTAATGATGGCTTATGAATGTTTATCAAAAATAAAATTACCTAAATTAGGCGTGATTGCCTCTTGATTGAAACCCAATTTAGACGTGATTGGTGACATGTCAGGTGTTGACACGTGTCACATTTTCAAACTCAGAAGCCTCTGAGTTATGCGTTTGTGATTTAATATAAAAATTAAATCAAGATTTGATGTGTGATTTAATTAAATTTTTTTTTTTTATTATAAAAAAAATTTGGTTTGTGATTTAAATTAAAAGTAACAATTATTATTAATAAAGAAAACAAAATAAATATTTGATTTGTGATTTAAACTCAAAAATCAATTTGAAAAATCTGTATTAATAAATAAAATAATTAAATAAATATTCTAAATCTCTAAGGAAGAAGGATTACCTAATTTAAATTTAAATTATGTTTGTGAGAAATAAAATATATCAAATGAGATATCATTGCGTAGATCTCGAAAAGTTATGTGGAATCAAAAAAAAGAATTACCTGAATTGGATACCCGAGTCAAAAGTATGGCCTTCAGAAGTTTTATGATTAAACTACTATTATTTTTAGAAAAAAAATGACACGTGTCAACTTTAGGTGAGAGACGCCCCATTGGGGTGTCTTCCCTTAGGTGAGAGACGCCTAAATGAGGCGTCACTTGTGATGCCCAAAAAAAGCGTTACATTGTGTAATAGATCCGTAATTATTTTCAAAACTACAATAAATACATAATTATTTAATTAAAATACAATAATTAAATTTTTTTTGCCCAAATACATGCTTTCAGTTATATTTATTTAGTTACAATTGTTTTTTTTGAATCCTGTGCTTTACTTTATAAATTGAGGCACTAATATATATATATATATGTTTTGGTAAATTGGAAATTAATTGTTCGCTGCAGAAAATAGATATTACATATATTTGAAATAATTTGGAAAATTTTGTTATGTCTGTATAAAAAAAAATTAATAGTGGGAGGATAGCTTTGGGATGGTACCTCCCAAAGTGATGAACACAACTTTTGGGCTTTATGCCTCCGATGTGAAACTGATGTGGAAAAGATTATATCCGTTCTTTCCAAAGTGGTGTCTGCCAGGGTTCCCCGGGATACTAGTAGCAACTTTGGGAAGATGTGTGCACACTAGGAAGATGTGAATTGATTATGGCCAAAGTGATTTATTTGTGACTGACAGGGTTTCCTGGGTCTCAGGGTAGACTGGCCGGGTTCCCCGGGTCTACCATGGTTCTCTTTCCACTAAATAGACTAAATGGATTAAATAAAGATCAATATAATTAATAACAAGTTGATATTTGATTTGAATTTTTGAGTTATATTATTTTATTGGATTATTATGAGTTACATTTTTTATTTGTTTATTTATTTATTTTGTATATCAGATTTGGATTACCAGCTTTGCTGACTTTTGTGTTTGTTTAACTGCAATGATCCTTACGGGGGAGCAGATTTTCAGTGAAGCATGTTGCAAAGGATGGGACTATCTATGGGCAGTCACGACTCGGATATTTCTAGCTAGTTTCTAAGTTTAAAAATTTTATGAGGTTTAAATAAATGCATAAGACATATTTCCTTTATTTAAACTTTAGTCTTTGGTTTTATTTTTAATGTAATAAATTTAGCCTTGCACCGGTCCATAGTACAAGTGCGGCGGTAACACTTCCTAAATTTGATTATTTTGAACTTCCGCTGTTATTTATAAAAATTATTGAAATTATTTATGCTACTATAAATTGTTAGAATTTGGGGTGTTATAGGATTCTCACACCCTACTCAGATACACAATAAATAATCATTTAATTTATTGCATGACTGAGCTGACAATCTGAGATATCACCTCCAACTCCAAAAGCAAGTACAAACTCGGAGATGATTACGAGCAACACAACAAAGCAATTGGGAACCCGAAAGCAGTCACTAGCTGGATTTTCCCAGCATTCACATCCTTTTGCACGAAAAAAGACTATTTGATAAACACAGGGGGCTTTACTTTCACCCCGACATTCCGACTTTGTGCAATGCCTGGGGGCTTATGTTATGGAGCAATTAAATGGTCCCCATTTTCTATTCCCACTACATGAAGCACCTCACTCCCCCACTCTCTCCCAACTTTCATCCATTACAAATAACCACCCACTATGCATTTCATGGTACCACTATGTCACCTAAAAAACTACCCACTATTTGCACAACCTGATCATCTCACAACTTATCTGAGATACATTACTTCAATCATTCATTCACAACATATTACACTGATTCATTACGCTACTGAGACCAAATAGTATTCATCTTTAGCATATCCCAAACACTTACCAAGTACCATAGTTGGTGTTCATTATGAGTATTTACAATTTTTTATTTATAAATTTTTACAATTAAATTTTAACTGTTGATTTTTGTCAATTTGACGATTATAATTTGTTGAAAATTAATAATCAATTAATAAGTGTGATCTAATAAATTATAACTACCAGATTGATGAAAATCAACAATTAAAATTTAATTGTAAGAGTTTATAATCGAAAGAAGTTGTAAATATAATTTTTTTTTTTTTTTTAGTTTCGGTCAAACGTATTTTATTAAATTTAATTTTAAAGCATAACAACTAAATATAATTTTTATACACAAAACTATGTTTCTATCCGTCTAACGTGTTGGTATATTGCGACGCATATCCGAACATGCTTTAAGAAGCTCTGCTACCTTTTTCGCGTTGGTTGGAACCCACTAGTCCTCAAAATTTGGCATCAATTTCATAAAGGTGGAGAAACATAGTCCTTACAAATTGTACCATTCTTATAAAAATCGAACCTGCCGATTTAGGTATTCAACCTTATGAATTTGACCCGATATGAAATCGATAAATCCGCTTGAACTGGGTTCAATCGGTATTGGGTTCAACCAGTATTAAATTAGTATCGGGTTTTTAAAAAAAATTAATTTTATAAATTTTTTTATAAAATATTTAAAAAATATCATTAATGAGATTCAAATTTAAATCACGTAAATGATAACTTATAATACTTACTACTAATCCAACTTTAATTATTAGCTAAAATACTTTTAGTCTTATATTTATTATATATATTTAATTCAATTTAAATTAAACCTATAATTCATTGATTGAACTGATAATGACTCAGTACCCCCCAAGAGAATGAATCACCTATTTGAGATTCAGAACATTGAATTATTGTACTATAAGAAGCTAGAAATGTAGGCTACTCTGCCAGCACAAAATTGGCTAGTTAGCGTTGATATTGCCCAAGTATGTGCTCACTATTTATCTATTTTTTAAAATATTAAAAATAAGACTATGATAATAAAGACTAAAATATTAATTAAGACTAAAATATCAAAATATAAATAGAAAAAGAACAACCTATGTGACTCTTTGGCTAGTCCACAATAATTTCTCCGGACATCTTACCCTATTTTTTTTAGTAAATAAAAATTTAAGTGAAATTAAATGTCGATATAAATATGTGAACTTAATTCATGAGTGACGATAGACAGCCAATTCTTAGGTACAAAAACTCAAATAAGTTCTGCATCATTAAATTTTATTATTTTTTTATACTTAAAATAACACATTAATCTGCAATTCAACATTATTATTATTTCTTAATTATTTTTAAGCCATAATTTGAGTCTAGCAACTTTTGTTGAGATGCATTTTGTAGCAATTGATGAATAACCTGTAAGAATAACGACCATGACGCTCAAAAGGGCTTCAATCAGAAAGAAAATCCTGGGAAATTTTAGAAAAACATGAACCATATGTTGCCTTCATTATTGATGGAATATACTATAGCCGCAAAAATCACAAATAATCTCTCATTGCTTGTATAGGGAAAAATAATCGTGCAACACACGTCAAGTCATATTCAATTGTCATAACAATTAAAAAACAAATGAAAAAAACATCTAAAGAAATAAGAAATGAACCTAGTGCCTCATCCCATGTCCCATTTTCTCAAGTTATCATATATGAAGAGGGAAAAAAAAAGTTAGTTGGCCAAGTTCATTGAATGTCAAAGTTGATCCATCCCATTGAAGCCATTTGAAAATGAGTCAATGGCTTGAAAATCTAGGCCTCTGGTTCGTCCAGGTGCACCCCCGTTAAGTGAAGAAACATCTAACATGATCCTGCTCCAGCCAAATATGAATGAAATCAGTACTTAATCTCAACCTTGGTTGCTAAATTAGTAAATGTGTTTCACAAAGGCTCACAAGTTATTTGTTTCCTTTTCTAGTTCTGTCGAGATGCAGTTTATGATGATTTTTTCACCAACTTTTGACAATGAATGATCCATTGGGAGATTGATCTCTCTTGGAGCTGGATTGACAAAATTAAACACACCAATTTAACTCTTTCATGGTTTATAACTTGTGTAAATAAGGATCAAATTTATCTACTTTACGGACACTCATACCTGGCTTTGGTGGAGGAGTGACACAACCATCAAGCCCCAATAATTTCTGCATCCAATGGATATTGTATATCAGGATCCTGATTTTTATTTTTTTTAAAACTCTCCATTAAACCTTAATTAGCGAGGATAGGGGTGAGGGCAATCCTTGTACGCAGCCTTACCCTTGCATATTTGCAAAGAGGCTGTTTTTCGGATTCAAACCCATAACCTTTTAGTCACAAAGGAACAGTTTTATCACTACTTCAAGCACGCCCTCTAAGGATTAGAATACTTAAAAAAATGAGATAATGTAAGAAAGTTTCAGTATAGGCAGTTGAGTTACCTTAAGACTCACATAACACTCCTCAAGGTTGTCATTGTATAAAATGAAATCAAATATGCCTGATGATTTCCCTTGCTCAATCTCAGCCTGAGCATTTCGCAATCGCTTTTGGACCTGTTCTTCTGTCTCTGTAGCTCTGCTCAAAACATTGAGGTTTGGAATGTTTAGAACAACATTGGGGGGGATTTGCTTTGAGAGTTAATAGGCATGAGTGAGAAGCTATTACTCACCTGTTACGGAGACGCTTCTCCAGTTCTTCCATTGATGGGGGGCAGATAAAGATGAATATGGCTTCAAGAGAACTAGCCCTCACTGATCTTGCCCCTTGAACATCAATATCAAGAATACATCTCTGAATAAAATTTAAAAATAAAAAAAGGTTTTACTATCTCAGATGAGAAATAGTTAGAAATCATATCTGAAGGACGTTAGTGCTGGCAAGGTTGGTTTGATATGATGGCACCCACAATCATCAAACAGAAAATTTAATTTCATCAATACGGATATTTTATGATAAGATCCAATATATACCTTTAAGATTAGAATTTAGATGAGAAAAAAAAACAAGTCAAAAGGGTGTTATATTTGATTGAAATCATGTTCCTTCCCCAATATGTGGCATTAAAAGTTATTGGTGTGTGGCAATATAACATGACACTCTGCTATGCTTCTGAGTTCTGACAAGCCTGTATTGTGCATGCTGCAGCAATTGCAACTCCAGAAGTAAGGTAATCCAATCAATAGATTACGAAGAGTACTTCGGCAAGTATAAGCACGCCACCAGTTCAACATTCTAAATATCAAAGCCTGTAAGTATGAGGAACTTACTTTTCCTGCATCTGATACCAGTTCAACAGCCTCAACACTGGTCCCATATAGATTACTATGGACAGAAGCAAACTCAAGAAACTTTCCATCTTTAATCTCTTTCTCCATTACACTCTTCTCAGTAAAATGGTAATGGACCCCATCTTTCTCCATGGCTCTTGGGGCACGGGTCGTGTGGCTCACAGAGAAACCAAACATAGATGGAAATTCCTCCATGAGCATATTAATCAATGTTCCTTTACCTACTCCGGAAGGACCACTAATAACAAGAGGTTTCTCAGCATTGCCGACAACACCTTTACTCCATGCAACAACCTCAGTCCCCAAAAACTTTTTCTGCTGCCTAACATATTGGGTGTCTACCTGCCAATATTAAGAAAATGAAAAATTTAACATCTGTAGGCCTTTATAGGAATCTAATATATCTTTGTGATTAAATTAAGGAGTTGGGTTTGCAAAATACAAACCTCCAGGAACCATGTATGATCATCTGACTTAGTATTTTTTTTAAGAATTAGTATTCTATCTTTCAAAAACACTGCTGAGTGGCCTGTACATGACATGGGTTTGATGCCTAACACAGTAGGATTAACCCTGCATATTAAAATTGATATCAGCAACAAAAGCTTGAGAAAAAAAAAATTGAGATACAAAACCTAAGAGATAAGAAACCTTAAACTGACCATTCTCCAAGAATGCTATCAAAAATTTTAATGGACAAAGTTTCACCATCAGCTCCACCAATGACATACTGTCAAACAAATGGAGGGCCATCTTTTGTTTTAGACAGAAGATTGACTATTTACAAATCTAATTAATAAGTAGTAACATACAGAAAGATGATGTTTATAGCATGTTATATGATCAATACCGTTTTATCACCAATGGTAGAAGATGTTTGGAAAGCTCCATTTTTTAATTCAAAGCCATTGCTAGCTCCATTCTTCAGGTCTTGAAGAATGAAAGTTGGTGCTTCTCCCTATTGATCACAACCAAAGAGGGATTATATACATCAAATCAAAACCCCTTCGATCCAATATTATAAGCAAACTGCATTCCTGAATTTACAAACCATTCTAATCCTCCAAGGAAAAGAGATGCTTACCATAGAAAAATCTTTGCTTGAATTCAATCCTGACCAAAATGCAGAAACATATATTAGTATTATGAAGGATCTATCTATATATAAAAACTTCCATTGTTAGGAACAGAGAGAACAGAACCCAATGAGATTTTAATACAGTTCATCAACCAGTTCAAGGTTTTCATTCAATATCTTTTTGATCCCACATGTATATGAAAAGAATTTCGATCCCACATTATAAAATTTAAAAAAAGAATAATTAAAACAACTCTGAATTTTCTAGAAGGCTGAGAAAATAGAAAACCAACTTGTAAACACAAACAAAATAAACTCAATGAAAAAGCTTTTATTTTTTGTTTAATAGAAAGGGAGAAAAATGAAAGAATGAGCATGCAATCAGTAATGGATCAATCAAACAGAGGACAACCCAGATCACAATGCCTAAAAAGTTGAAACCTTTAACAGATTTAGACAACCATTGTTGATGTTACCTTATACTAATAGAACAAGCTCGGTGCAGAAAAGAAACAAGCCTTGTTTGGTCTTTTTTTTTTTAGGTTGGTAGTATTCAAAGGTTCAACTCTTGTCTTCCTCTGTTGACAACCTTAAAGAGAGAGAGAGAGAGATTGTGCTTTGGATTTCAACCTTTTTCAAATTTTCAATTCTGATAATAAAATAACAAATAAAAAATGGAAAGATTATAGTTATTATCTTTTTATCTTACTACTCATTACTATTAAGATTTTAATTATTAATTTTTGTCAATTTAATGGTAATAATCTATTGGATCATATTTATTAATTAATTATTAATTTTAATAAATTATAACTGCTAGATTAACAGAAATCAACGATTAAAATTTAATAATAACAAGTAATAAGATAAAAAAAATAGTAACTGTAACCTCTAAAAAAAAATAATAATAGAAAGATTGGGATGCAGAGAAGTGAGAGGCGGCAGAGGAAGTTGAAACTAAAATCAGGGAATGGATTTTCATATTTGTAGGCGCAAAAAGAGAAAAGGGGGTTCGGTTTTTTTATTTTTATTGGGTCGCGTTTGATTCACGAACTGGGATAACCGGGTTTCGTTTTCTCGTGAGTTAGCTTACGAATACTATATTTGTAAAATCCTGTTTTTATTGCGGAAATTTTTTTTTATCATGTTTATATAAAAATAAATGAAGTTTATTTTTTTTTATGTAAGAAAAAATTTCTTCAACCATCTTGAAATTTATCGTATTATTTAAATGATCACAAAATAAAATAAAATAACAGATATTTGGGCGGTTAAACTCATTGAAATTCTTTAATTTTTATTTGTATCATTACTATTGAAGTGTGAGAAACTGGTATCTTGTATATGTTTTTCAAAATTTAGCAGAATTCAAGAAAACATATAATAAAAAGGAAAAAAAATATGCTTGAAATTGAAATAAAGGTATAATTAGATTATATGCTATCCTACACTATCTGATGAGTATCTTTCCTAAATAATTGTGATTATAGTAAGTTTATTGAATGATTTACAATATATAACTAGATAATACTAAAAAGTAACAAAAATTATATTCTTTTATAATATATGATGCGTATAATATAAAATTCCATTCCAATATGAAATTAAAAATTGAATTTAGATTAAAAAAAATTGAAATTCAATTATTTAAAAAAAATAAAAATTTGCAAGTCATATTTGTCTTTTATATATAAATTAGTAGTTAATATAAAATTTGAGAACCTTATCCTAGTTACCATGTGTGACTAGAACTAGAAATTACAAGCATATTCAAAATATTCAAATAATTGGGATATTGGAGCTTGACATGTGAGAAAGGAACCTTAATTAGGTTTGACAAATAAATTTGTGCTAAAACGCTCTACTGGAGCTTTATATTGGAGCTTGACATTAGAGCGCTAAAACGCTCTCACAGTATATTGTTGTCTACCTTAGAGCATTTTAACGCTCTACTGGGCACTAAAACGCTCTCTTTGAAAGGAACTTTGTGTTGTCAGGGCGTTTTAGTGCTCTGTTGGGCGTTAAAACGCTCTCCTCCAGTGGATTTTGGCAATTTTACTTCTTTAGAGGCTTGTAACTTACTTTCTTTGAGGCTTTCTTTCATCTCCTTGCATTCTTTTTGCTCCATTAGCATTCTTTTATGTCAAATTACCTTCAAAATAAGCAAGATTACCACATGTTAGCTAGAAATCCATTCTTTATGATTTTATACTGTAAAACCTTAATTTCCATGCAATCTGCTATGTAATTCTTGTATAAATTAGCCTAAAAATATGGTAAACTAAGGGTTTATCAAACATTCCCAGATTTAAATATTGTTGTCCTCAGCAATCAATTAGAATAAACTAAGGGAAATTTGAGCAGGAATTCTCAATTGCATGGAATTTGATAGGAAGGATTCAATCAGAGAATTGATTACAGAGCATTCAGACTCTAAAGAATGATACATTAATCAACAAGATTCATAATTCATCAGTTAAAATTTGCAATAAAATTTCTTAAGATCAAGAATAAGAAAAAAATTCTGAAACACTCCCTCACTAGGAATTTACTTCACTCACACTCGATTGTTTAGGGCTGGTGTTTTACTCTTCTTCCACTGAATCAACACTACCATAGGTTTGCTTATATTCTCACTCTCTACAATTCTTGTGACATATCCAATAGATCAAGAGGTCTTGATTAGGGTTATAACTTGGCCTGGTTGAAGGAAGGGAAAACTTTTGGGAACGAGTTTCAAGATTAAAATTCAGATTCAAAGAGGAATAAGTGTAATTTGTCAAACAAATTGTAGACAACTTTTCTTCTTCTTTTCCGTTCATTCTTCTTCTTTTTCCTTTGGAATTTTTTTCTCTTTCGTCATTCTCTTTTATAAGAACATTCACTTCTTTATTTTCACTTCTTTTCCTTTCCTTTCCTTGAGTAATTTTTACTCTTCTTTGTTCTAACCAATCTTTCTTCCTTTGGCTTTGCCCTTTTTACTTGTACTTCTATACATCAAAAACTTGTGTAACCACAATTTACATCTACTCCTTACTTCAAATCTGAAATTTAATCTTCAATTAAGGTGAGGATTTATTTGAGAAGTGGCTTATTCATCTTCATAGGTTTTCAAAAAATAAACAGGCCTAGGCTCAAAAGGGTTTAACTAAGGAATGTCAGCAATGGTTGGCTATTTGGCCATCTAGTTTAAAGAAAGAACATGCCTCATTCATATCCATAGAATATATCATATACCAATCCAAGCAAGAAACAAAGCAAGTTCTAGAGTCATTTATACAGTGGGATGCATTCTGAATAAAAATTTTCTGTATAGACTCAAAACCTCACGGCTATGAATGCACAATAATTTTCCTATTCCTCATCTCAAAAAATTTCATCACTAAAGAGAATATTCAATGAATCATGAAAATCATTACATTGATGCTCATTATGAAAAATTAAGAAGGTGCATCATCATGCTCTGAATCAAATCACTGATCAAATTTCCTACCAATCTTCCATTTAAAAGCGCTGAGTAAAACTTTCAGATTTTCACAAAACAATGGATTGGGATTATTATTATTTAAAACTCTAAAAAATTAATTTCAATTTCTAAAAAAAAAATGTTGCATTAAAGAAAAGAAAAAGGTTGAGATAGTTCCCTGTACTAGCTGGATGTTCCGTGTATATTCATGAAGTTCTCTGGTTCATTTAGCGATATGAAAGAAAATGGCCTTGAAGGCCGTAGGCATGTGAGGATGAAAACAAAATTTTTCAAAAGCGGAAACACACATGCCAATCAAGATATGTTCTTTAGGACGTAATGATATACCTTGTTCATGATTAAAACTCCAAGGTGATCAATGTAAGGTTTGAAAAGGTTCAAACCCTCTAATGTTGATCCACACCACCCTATGTCAAGATGCAAGAACCCTTCTTGAAAAGCCACCAATTAAACACCACAAAGAAGGCTGGCTAGGCGTTCAATAGATGAAGGAGGAGGCAAGGTTCATGTGTTTAGATGAGTGAAATTTTCAGCTTAAAACTTCACAAAAGTGGCGCATGGAATTGATGAGAAGTGGCTAGGATATTCTTCAAAACTCTCTTAAGAAAAACCTAACAAAAGGATGACCAAAGGAGATGAGAGAGTCTAAGCATTCAAGTCAGATTTTGCACTTAAAAATCTGATCAAAGTGGCGCACACCAAGGAAGAAAAAGATGGAGTTGTTGCAATTCAAATTTTTCCAACAACCTATCTTTTTTTTTTTTTTTGATAACAACAACCTATCTTTTAATCCTCATGAGACTAGGTCTAAACCTAGTCAAAATTCTGAACTAATGACCATCATATGGCCAGCCATATGGTGCGCCCCTTTGGTCCACAATGCAGTCCAAATACATTGAGTAGTTGCATTCAAATTTGAACTAACTTACTCACTTATTCTCTCAACCAACCAAATCTCATTTGGAGCTTATTTGGTTGACTAAATGAAACTCATAACAACCCAAATCAGCGCCGCAAACAACCTTGGATGATGCTCAAATATCTCCTCTTGGTACTAGGGATTTGTTCCAACAAGATCTTATCTTATCCTTTTGTTATGAAACAACTTTTCATAGCCAATTCAAATTCGAATTCAAACATTTAAATTCAAACGTTCAAACATTTAAATTCTAAATTCAAATTCTAAATTTAAATATTTGATAATTAATTTAACTAATTAAATTAATTAATAATGTCTTGGACCATCTAAGCCTATTACAATTACCATGCGCCCTTTCCCTCTTAGGTGAGCTTCCAAACTTCTTCTTGGGCTAAAAGCCTTTATTAGGTCCAATACCTTTAATGCTATATCATCAAGACAATAAAGTGTTAATGCGTGACCCATTAGACCCAACATAGCCATTGACATAAATGGGCTTGGGTCCAACAAGCCCACAACCTATTTAATGACAACACAGAGCACTAGTAATGCTTTGTTGCCCCAGAGCTAGTTAGGTTAATGACATGATCATCCTATTACATATATTTAGTTACTGTATGTATTTCCTTTCGTCTCAGTTACCTTCCCTTTAAATCTAGGGTGGGGATACGTATCAACCCTTGCGGTTTAGGATAAGCTTTAATTCGAAATAGGGAATCTTCAATTTACTGACTCTAAAGGCAGATCATCTCATGATCTCTTTTACTATGCATAGATTCCCGAGTCCTGTAAATGTCATCCCGATTTCTCCGGTTTACAGACAACCTAATCCCTTATAGAGATTTGAGGAATTCCTTCAGCTTATCACTCTGGGCCTGTGCTCTTTCAGAACATGCCCAAAAGTATACCTATGAGTCTCCATGTTTCAGTAAGACGAGGTATACAATCAAAACATGCCTTCTAGAACACAGTCTAGGTGACAACTTATGGTCTAAGGAAAGACATACCCAAATATTAAGAGATTGCTCTAATGATACTTTTGTAAGATTTCCTCATAGAGTCTCTTTGTGGGTCTGTTCAGTTCGAGCTATACCCTTATAGGTCCACCCACGACTTTAGCTAAGACATCTCCATATCTGTAGCTCATGAGGTCTTTACCTTGTATCCGAATACAAGTAGATAAGTCGTGCTAGTCTCACCCGAGAT